TCAAATGAAGTCAACAACCCCCTTCTGTAGTACCTCTGTTCACACTCTGCGAGAGGCGAAGTCACTCGAAAATAGCCTAAGTGATAACAGCAAGTGCCAACAGCAACTACTGGCTTGCAAGACTGTCGCTGCCTTCTTTTCTAAAGTTTCTCAAAAACAAGCTGGTGACGAAACATGACTTTCCTGGCATTGGACTAGTAAAAAAGAATTACAACACAAAAAAAGTAAGAACATATCAACCTTCTTACTCTGTTTCAGATGAAGCATGGAGATGTAAAAAAAAAAAACAGTAGTAGAAGCACTGACAAATTATTCAAACTGACATTTTTCCGCAAAAAAAAAAAAAAAAAATGAGATTATCCTACGAACGAGCTAATAGACAACGGTTGTTGTAGCAATTACTTCTGGACAGTCGACAATTCATAGAGTACGAGAGGGAATTATCTTTTTAGACATGATTTATGCAGATTAGAAAGGTGATGACAATCAGTACAAAACGATACTAGGCACTAAATCAGTTTTCATGCAAAAAAAAGGAAAACGAATCTTTCTCAAAGTTCCACGGATTATTTTTGCACGACCAGATGATGGTGTGAAATTGTACTTCAGTCTGCATCAAGAATAAACCAAGCTTGTCCGTAAAAGTTCAGGAACGTCAAAATACGTCCCTGTTCTCTGATTTTATAAAAACAATGGAAATTCTCAGTAAAACATGAGGATATTGCCCAAAAACATCGATAAGATCGGCAAATGAAGCAGTGGATTTAGAAATGCTGCCATTCAAATCCAATATTGCGATGATCTATCTCATACTGATTGACAACTTCTTCGGCAATCGCCTGATTCAGCCACAAATTTTCCAGTTTCGCGTACAGCTCATGATTTAGATGCATCGGATTGCCGCGTCTATAAAAAAAAACAATGATTCTCTTCTACATATACTATGATTGTTCAAGAGTTGTTGTTGAAAAACAGTACAAATGATCAAGTAGGAAGGTGCTCGAGCAACCAGAAGAGAAGTGCTCCTCAATTTCACTATCCTGGATACCTTCCGATGACGACGACGACCGTTAACAGATATACCACCGACCTTTGTTTCCCACCACAATTTTCTACATACGCTATTATCAAACGTATGCTATTTTTGTAAATTTACCTCGTTTTCTTCGAATCATACATCTTTCACTCGGGCCACAGCAAATGTGACTGTGTAATTTGAAAATTATCAAGTTTTTTGTGGCAAAAATTAAAAGGCAATAAAAAAAGCTCCGGAGGATTTTTCTAAAAAAAAAAGAACAAATCCTTTTTGGCTGCTTATGCAGTGAAGAAGTTACCGAAAGCCAGAGTCTGTTTCACCATATTCGTCCACATACGGTG